TCAGTTTATTGCCGGATTCTTTCCTATTTCTTAAGGACATGACATGCAAATAGCGTTCATGTTCTGTAGATAGTCCTCTTCAGGCCTGCCACTTCTTCTTTTTTCCATCACTTGTACAGTTTCTGTTTTGTTTTGTAATGTTGATTGTCATTTATGCTTAGAAATATCTACTTATATATGCTTAGAGTTTGTAATTAGTTTTAGATTGGTAGAGGTGTATAATCAATTGTGTAGTGATAGGATGTGTGATCCTTAATAGTCTGCAAAGGCTTTGTGCGCATTCCAGAGTGTTCTGGCATCCACACCGACACTCTGGGAGCATGGGAAGAGGTCGTACCTTCTCTTATTGTTTTATGGTAGGATAAACGTGGCTATATCTGTTTTAGTCTAAGTGCCTTTTGTTTAGATGGTTTAGGGAAGTCATTTCCTAAACCATCACACTCTGACCACACACACACACAGGCAAGGTACTCTTTGTTTGTATGTAGACGTCGTATGTTAATGAACCTACGCATATTCATGTAACCTCAATAAAAGAGCAGTGTTACGGGGGAGCGGACGAGAGCAACTGGGGTCAAGCGAAGGAACGGCGTTTGTCCGGTTCTCTCCCGTGCACGAGAAACATGAAGAACTTTGCCTACTTTGTGTCTTGCTTTGCTGTGTAATTATATTGTCTTCAACGTTCCAGCGAATAGGTTCAAGCTACAAACCTATCAGTTTCCTCAAAATGTATCTATGTGCTCACTCTATACTATGCAGAGATATGCCAAGTTTTCAGGTAATAGCTCTTTGGGAATCACCTTGTTGGAGCAAAAATACTATTTTATGCCTGTCAAACTATTTATGGCATGTTTCATAAATTCCACTAATGAAATAGAAACAAATTACAGAAAGATAAAAAATAAACTTGGTTCTTTGCCAAGTTGTTGGTTATATGTGGACACAACAGTGGCACGTCTCTCGATTCACAGGTCAGCGCTATATGGTTTTAGAAATATACATATATATTCTTTTAAACATGGTAAGGTACAAGGACTCAACAGAAAAACAAAGAAAAGAAAAGAAAAGAAAATCTTGCTCCTTGGAAGCAAAATATTAAAGAAATGAATGGTGATTCAAGACTTTTGCACAGTACAGTAAATCAATAATGACTATTTTTTTTCTGTTGCTAAATCAATACAACTTTAAGAACAGTAACAACTATATAAAATATCCAAGTAGAGTTATAAAATGCATTAAACTTTTATATCTGGCATGATGGCACAAATAAAATACTTATTTGTCTGCAAACCGCTGCATAACAAATCAGTGGCTGCGTATGTGTTTGCTACTAGATATTCAAGCAGAATAATGCATATTCTTCCTGTTTAACTTTTTATGAGTGCAGACAATGCTCCATAGGCTTAGACAGATGACAGAGGTCTATATATTTAAACAACACATGTTTAATAAAGGTAGTGAATTCTCTTTTATGATATTTTACTAAGATCTCATATGCGACGTACTGTGCATCCAGATGTGAGACACATCAGCGAGTGTGTCATATTTATTGCAGTGACTGCCTGCAGTGAGTGTGCTCTGACTTATTCGCTCCTATGGGACACCTGACATCTCCTCTTTGATGCAAGCCTTTCACTTCTTAAGTCTTCAACTGTATGGGCACTTTCACAATACGGAGACGGGGTATATCTGTCAGGGGGACCATCAGAGATGATTTGTTGATGATTTGATTTTCAGCCTAGGGAGCATATGGCTGCATAAATAAATGCTTCCAAACAGACTCAGCATAGCGCCGACCTGATGATGGAGCTGTGGCATAATCTCTGAGATGGAAAGAGAAAATTATGACAAACCGCACTTCTGAGCCACTCTGCTAAACTCCTGTTCATATGTCTTCCACTTATGTGCGTACAGAGAAAAGTAAAGTATGATCGTTGCACCAATGCTTGTTTTGTTTGTCAGGCTTAAGCTAATTAATGCATGTTTTTATTCACCTGCCACAGATTCCTGCATTTTCTCATTCAGGGCACTGGTATCTTCTGTTATGTCACAGATAAAAGTCTGATCAAACACCATCCTTAATCCTCAAGCTTAGTAACGGCAATCGATTTAAAAGTATGAAAGTCAATTTCCTCAGGCGCTGTGCCGCATCGCTGCCGCTCTTATAGTGAAATGGCTTTTCTTTACAAATTCGAACATTGCCTTTATTAAGAATTAGTCCTCAAATACATTTTCAGCATATGACTTTTTTTTTTTGACATTTCTTATGCCAAGTTCATATCGAGTACAAGTGCCCATCATCTGCTGGGTATCCACTTTGATAGCGAGCCATCAGTACGACGAGCATGCAGAAAGTGGTACTCAGAAAACAGTTATTTCTGTAATGAGCTACAGCAAGATCAGATGCTCCTCCGCCTCCTGTGCCACTCAGGTGAAGAGCAGCTTGGAAAATAATGTTTTTCTGGTAATGACCAAGCAAACAGCAGTGACCCTCCTCCAGCTGCTCTTGTTAAATTTGTGATAACGACTTCTTGAATCAGTGTATTTTAATTAATGGCTTCGCGCTCTCTTCCCGCTAGCATTACCTGTCACGATCCTGGGTCTTTTGCCCCAGCGTTTTGAGTTTTAGTTTATGGTTTATGTTTAAGCGCTTCAGGTTTTCTAAGTTCCTTTTTTTTTCCATGCCTAGGTTGTTATAGTTCTTTGTCATTAGATTCCCCTTGTGTCTTCCACCCCTGTTAAGTCTCCCTTGCCCTTCATGTGTCATGTCTGTGTCTTACGTTGTCAAGTTCAGGTTGTCATGTCTGCGTCTTATGTTTCCTGTTTTACTTTGAAGAGGTCTTGTGTTCCTGTGTTCATCGTGTTTAGTTTTACTCTTCCACTGTGACGTCGTTATGTTCATGTGTGTCAGCTGTTCCCCCATGTGTTCACACTTCTCTCATTAGCCTCCTGTGTGTATTTAGTCTGTGCCTTCTCATTCAGTCTTTGTCGGATCGTCTGCGTTGTTCCCATGCCATGTCCTGCCTTCACGTTTTCATATATCCTCATCATCATTGCCATGTTTAGAGTTTTGTTTGTTTTTCTGTTTTCCAGGGTTTTTAATAATAATGGATTGCATTTATATAGCGCTTTTCAGGACCCCTCAAAGCGCTTTACAAT